CGATGGTGGTTTTGAATTTTCTCGAGAGCGCTTTACCGCACATAGAGTGAGCGAACGGGCGAGGGAGAGTAGTGGCGTGAGGGAGCGGCGGAGGGAATAGAGGCAAATGAGAGGAGCTAGAGGCGGAGGTGGGAGACAAGCACTCTGAATACATGGGCGAGCGGAGAACAGAAGACGGCGGCGAGGGGAGAGCACACCCAGGTTTGTAGCGTCCTACACTGGTCATTGCGTGCTGTGTTGGGCGTCGCACCGGAAGTTGTCGACGCGTCCCTCCCTTAGTCTGCCGTGCAAAAGTCCCTTGCTTTACTTGTTATTGTGCTTGTTGTTCTCTTCTCTACCTCCTTTACTCCTCCTTTTTCCCTGTGTATATACATATATACATCTATATACTTTCCTGCCACGACGTAAGTAACCCCGGCAACTATCTCCCTCCCGCTCACCCGTACGACCGCATAGATCAAAAAACGAAAAAGGAAAAGAAGAAAAAAAGTGGGGGTTGGAAAGGCAGATACCAAGAAGTGTGTGAGAAAGTGCATGGTATAGAGTAAAGACTACTAATACGACTACTAATGCTGCTTCTGCTGCTACGACTGCTGTGTGTGTGTGGGGTGGGGGGCTCTTTAGCCCTCCTCCTCCTGTTTCATTCCCCCTCCACCCCACACGACGCCAATGAATAGAGAGAGAGATAAAAACAACACACGCACGCACACACACAAAAAAAGAGGGTGGAACTGAGAGCGAAAAAATCACGCTCTGTTCTTTCTTTTTGAAGTCCTTTTCTGTGCACTTTCTCTCTCCCGCCACATGTGCCCCATCCAGCCCTCCACGTACACAATACTCTGCGATGGTGGGTGTCCGCCCCACATGGACTTTCAGCAGCCATGGCTCTGGCTGCTTTTCTTGGCATCCCACCGCCCCCGTTGATGACCCACTCTCACTTTTCCTTTTTTTGTGGATTTCCCTTCTTTTTTTAAATCGTTTTGTCGCTGCTTGCGGGGGTACACACGTAAAAAAAAAAGAGGGAGGGTGTGTGGGAGTGGCGCGGAAGGACGAGAAAGAAGCGGTGTGTCTCTCTCCACAGAAAGGGCTCTCTCTCACTCACACACACACACATAATAAATACGCTTCGCGTCCCTGAATAATTTCGTTGAGAGGAAGTACCGAGAAGCGATGCCCTCAAAAACGACGTCGGTTGAGCACATTGATGCTTGCCGAGGTCGCGGCCTTGTGGCGGAGGTGGACTTCAATGAAGGGGACTCTATTCTTCTTGCGCCGTATGACATTGCTGTGCTGTATAGCCCGTTTGTGCGCAACACGTGCTATCGCTGTTTTGCACCCCTGGTGGAACCGCCGAAGGAGGGGGAAGAGGAGGCGAAGGCAAAAATCCAAGCTGAAGAGGGTAAGGAGGAAATTTGTTACGAGTGTTCCTCCTGCAAGCATCTTGTGTTGTGTTCCAGCTGCGTGAAGGATTTGGTTGCGGAGGCGTGGAGGCGGCCCGACGAGGGCGTGCCCGCCGCGTCGTTGGGTGACGATGAGCGTGAACTTGCTATGTTGCAAACGCATCCTCTTCTAGAGGCCCATAAACTGGCCTGCGCGTGGTTTTGTACGCTCCCTGATTCTGTGCAGGCGGGCGATACGGACTACCTGCGCTTTGCATTGCAGTACGGCTCACGTGCGCTCCTTGGCGACACCCGACTCCTGCTGGCCGTTGACGAGCTGGGCATAAATACGGTCCAGCAGTTGACGGAGGCGCATCAATTCTGTGAATCCTTTGCAAAACGTATCGTGGATACGTTTGCTCCGCAGGGATTCCGCGTGGATGCGGAGCACCTTCGCGACGTCCTCCTCCGTACCAAGAGCAACAGTATTGGCTACCCCTTTAATGAGGAGGAGACGCTCGGGTGGTCACTGCAGGCGGAAATTTGCATGATTAACCACAGCTGCGTCCCCAACGCGGCGGTTGTGCGCCCGAAATGCAAAGCGGGAGCGGGAGCATGCTCAATGGAGCTTGTGGCGCGCCGCGCCATTAAGGCGGGGGAGGAAGTGACAATTTCATACCTTGACGTTGACAGCTACGCAGACGACGTACAGGCGAGGCGCCGGCGTCTGATGGAGGATTATGGGTTTCTCTGTTGTTGCCCAAAGTGTGCACCCGCCAAGACCCCTACGACGCCTGCAACTGCGCAGTAAAAATAATATTATAAATTTTACCCTCCTGGTCGTTGGTGTATACCCGTTTTTTCTTTTTTTCTTTTGCTTTGCTCTCTCTCTCTCTCTCTCTCTCTATT